CCCCAAAACCCCAAAACCCCAAAACCCCAAAACCCCATAAGAATTATTCAGATCAAATTCAATGAATTAGAATTTCTAGAAATAAAGTGCATTATAAACTTTTTCTGATTAGACCAATTTAGATTATTGCTTTATGACCTTGAGTATTAATGCTTTAACTTTTAGTACTAAATAATTATTAGAAAAGATATGGAGAGTAGCAACATTTTGAAGCCAGAGTTCTACTAAAGTATCTAATAAAATTGCTAATTGTGGTAGCAAGATGCCTTGGACACTTATGATGATTTAGACAACATTGAGATTATTTAAAAGGCAGAGGGAAACTTGAAGATTCTGTTTGACGAATATGTGATTAAAATGTCAGTCAAAGCATTGGCTAATCACATTATTAACAATCACAAACCCCTTCTCCAGCAAATTCTAAATCACTCCAAAGTCAAGGCCTAAGTATAGCCACAGTAAGTGCCAGTCCAACAGCCATAACAGTAGTAATAATTGCCTCCATAGCAACAACAAATCCCCCCTAAAATGCAAATCTAACAAAATCAATAGCTTCCTCACCATAGTAGAGGTAAGAGCGCCATCAATGAAAATCAAGTTCCTTAGAAATAACTGCATATCAATGACTAATTAGACAAAATTATCAATAGCAAAGAGCCTGTCAATATAAATGTCAAGATATAAAATAATATTGGAGCTCCCCAAAATAATGAGAAGTCACCCATCTCTAAGGACTAAATTTCCCCTAATTAATAGGTTGATTAAAATAAAAGCAATCCAAATATGGCAGCTGCCTAGAAGAACCAATGGAATTTCAGAAATTAGGCATAGAATATGCCTGCTCCATTTTAGTAAGATGAAGAATTGAAAAACGAGGGTATACCTCAAGCAAATTAAAAACCAAAATCTAAAAGAAATAAATCTCAAATTAAAGGATCTGTATCATAGAATATTGCTCCTGATTAAGATGATTAATTAGCTTCAGCAGCAGTTATTCAAATTAATATTTACAAAGATATGGAGGCCAATTTATTAAGGGGTATAGTTAAGGCTAAAAATAAGGTATTTACTATAACTGACTAAGGCTGTCTATTGGTACTCTCTGAAGACTTGCTGAGTATTATAAAGTCTATCAAACTTGCTCATGATCTCCCGAGATGCATTGTAGGCTATGATAACCTCATACTAATTGGTGAGGAAAAGTTCATTGAAGTCTTTAATGCTGATACACTAGATAAAGTTACTGACATCCCTACAAATCAGAGAGTATTTAAGATATTTGTGAGATTCACCAAGATCTTCACAGCTTAAGATACTGGAGTTATCTAGATCTTTAATTCTAAGACTTTTGCGCTTGAATATACTTTCTAGTTTCCAAAGAAGAACGGAAAGCCATGCCACATTCATGACTTGAACATAGTCTCAAGTTAAATTGATAATAAAATTCCAGAGTTTGCTATAGCTACCACTGAAGGATTATACTTCATTCAATTATCTAAAGTAGACATCTCACATAACTCTTTTGAGATGATTGAAATTCCTAATGAATTTTACTTGACTGGACAAATAGTTAAGAGTGTAGTCGAAGGCTAAGCTTAGTAACTTATTGCTTCTGTCGTTGGAAGACTGTATCTGATTGATAGAAAGTAAAACCAAGTTAGTTCTGTTGACCCAACTAAGACATCAATCATTAATGTAGGTCAAAAAGTTGCTGGATTTAGCTTGACTAAAAGACCTTATGTTATTTTTAAAACATCAAATGAGTTGATCATTATGAATGTCAATGATTATAAATTGACATATCTTAGCAGCTCTAAATTCTAAGATTTGAGAGGAATAACTCAGTTCTTCACAATCGAGGAGAATTCCTAATTCAAACTCTATGACTTAAGCTTCATCAAAGGCTAGAAGAGATGTATAAAGGAACTTATTCTTGATTTCACCAAATTAGAAGCATGAAGAGATTTATCATTGCTTTAGAGAGCCAAAAATTGGCAATGTCAGGATTAATTTGATATTTCATTCTGATATTTTAAATTGATAAAACATTCACAGAAATTTTTAGTACTATGGGGTTTTGGGGTTTTGGGGTTTTGGGG